GGGGGGCGCGGCGCGGGCAGCCCCGGGTCGGCGGCCTCGGGCCGGGGCGCCTTGGGGCGCCGGGAGGCGTGCAGCGCGGAGAAGAGCTGGGCGCGGGCGGCCGGGCTGGCGTCGTGCGCGAAGGCCGCCAGGCGGAGCAGGCACTCGCGGAAGCCGGACAGGTAGCAGCTGGCGAGCGCCTCGGCGTCCTGGCCCGGGGACCGGGGGCGCCCTGGTGCGGCCGGCGGGAGGGCAGCCAGCGCGGGGCAGAGGGAAGGGGCGGGCCGCGGAGGCGCGGAGGCGAGCCGGGCGCACGGACGCGGACGGGAGGCCGGAGGACGCACGTGGAGAGGGGCGGGGCGGGGGACACGGAGACAGACAGGCGCGGGCGTCATTAACCTCGCCGGGGCCCCCGACCCCCGGCCTCGCGGGGCGCGCCCCTCCCGGCCCCCGCGGCCCGCCCCCCGCGCCGTACCCGGGGGCTCCACGCGGCTGCGCTCCCTCAGGTAGCCCACGGCGAACTCCAGGATCTCGGCTTTCTCCAGCTTCGGGTTCCGGAGGTTCTGCAGGGGGAGGCGCCGGGGCAGAGGGGCGGGAGAGAGGGGGAAAGTGGCTGGGGGAAGAACCGGGGCGGGGCCGGAGCTGCGGGCGCCCCAGGGCTCGCCGCCGCGCCTGGAGGGTGCAGCCGGAGGGGGACCGCGAGTCCCGGCGCGTGGCGATGCGGGATGCGCGCAGCCCGGGGTGGGGGGCCCCGAGGGGAGCCGGCCCGCCCGGAGGCTCGTGTTTACGCAGCCGGACAGGAAACTTACAGACCCGCAAGGTGGCGAAGATCGAAGGCGGAGGGCGAGAGGCGGGTCTGGGGCGGGCTTGTCATGGGCCAGGCTCGGGTCAGGAGGCCCCGGGACCGGAGCCTCCACCAGCCTCCGTCCCCACCCCGGGGGGAAGCCCTGGGTCACGGGGCCGCCGCAGAGCCCGGGCGCGGCGGCCGAACTGACCTGGTCCCTGGTCCTCTCCAGTAGCAGCAGCCTCAGCTCCTCCAGGCTGCGGTTGATGCGGTCGCGGCGCCGCTTCTCCACCAGCGGCTTCAGCATCTGCGGGCGGCGGGGGAGGGAGAGCGGGCCGCCCGGGCCGAGACTCAGCGCCGCCAGCGAGCGCCCGGCCTGCCGCGGGGGCCCCCGCGCGCCCTCTCCCCGAGGCCCCCCTCTCCCCGAGGCCCCCCTCTCCGCGCGCGCCCCTCTCCCCGCGCGCCCTCTCCCCGCGCGCCCTCTCCCCGAGGGCCCCCTCTCCGCGCGCGCCCCTCTCCCCGAGGCCCCCCTCTCCGCGCGCGCCCTCTCCCCGAGGCCCCCTCTCCGCGCCCCTGCCCCTTCTGTGCCCTCCTCCGCGCCTCTCCACATCTGTCCTGTGTGCTCTCTCTCCCGGTATCGCTGAGGAACTTTGGAGACACTTCGCCCCCACGCTAGCGAGCCTCGGGATGCGCATCTAAGTAACCCAGAGCGGAAAGTGGACGCTCGGGGAGAGCGCGGCCTCTCCTCGCCCAGCCAAGGCGAAGCGGCCACCCGGCCCGCTAAGAGCGCTCGCCCGGCCTCACCCCTCGGGAACCAGACCCCCAGGCCCTCGCTCTGAGCCCTCACGGACGGGCCGCGTCCGGAGCTGTCACCCTCCACCCGCTCGGCCCTCTGGCTTATTTGTGCTGTTTTGTTGGCCCGCTTTGTTTTTGTGGGGCGAACTCCAAGGCCTCGAACGCGCGCCAATCCACCTGCCTCGGCCTCCCGGGCGCTAGGATAGGCCACCGTGCCCGGGTTTTGGCACTCCCCCGAGCCCTGCAGGCCGCAGCCCCTAGACCTCGGCTTCCACCGCCCGCGCGTTCGGCCCGACCCCTGTCCGCTCTCTACAGGTCCTTCTCTGTCCTTTCACCCTGAGTGTCCGCCGCGGAGTGAGAACCTCCGAGCCCGCCGGCCGGGACAGGGACCCTTGCACCGCTCACCTTGGGGCCGTCCCTATTCTCAGCTCGATCCCGGGTGACCATTGCTCCTCGGACCCTGTGGTGGACACAGCGCGTGCTTCCTGGAGCCTTATATCCCGCGCGGCAAGGTAGGAGGGCTGGGGCCCGGCCCCGCCCACTTCGGCACCTCCATCCCTAGCGCGGGGACCCCGGCACGCGGCTCCCGGAAAGGCTGGGAGCGAAGGGGGAGGGGGCGGGAGGAACCAGCCCCAAGCGTGGGAAGCGAGGGAAGGACGGGGCGACAGGCCCTCTGGGGACCATAAAGCTGTATAATGAGGCGGGACCCAGCTGGACGGAGGGGAATGGGCAGAACTCGCTTAGGCATGAAAGTTGGGGGTCTCCCAGAAGGGCGGGCTTCCCGGACACCCCCACCCCCGCTGAAAGAAGTGTCAGCGCGCCTCAGCCTCCAGGAGGAATATTATAGTCTCCCCCGACGCAGGTGCGCAGCGACCTGCCGGGTTCCGCGCGCTGCTGTGGGCAAGGTCGCGCCTACCGGTCCCCGAGGACCTCCGCGCCTTATCCCTGCACGCCCAGGGGCGAGGAGCCTCCCCCAGCGAGGGGAGCTTGTGCCCCGAAAACAGAACCTTCCAAGGGCGGATGGAGTGGGGCAGGGCGGAGGAAACGTCCAGAAAACGGAAGGGATGAAGTCCTTAAAGTGTGCGCAGGGCTGGAGAGCCCCTTCCATTTCGAGTACTCGGTCTAGCAGGGTTTGGGCGAAAGTCTAGGGCGGCGCACAGCGGCGCCCGGAGCTGCTCCCCTGGGGCGGATTCCAGGGCGCGGGGGAGGACGAGAAGGGGTCCGCACCCACCTCAAACCGCGAGCACGGCCCTCCGCGGGGGGCCGCCGCCGCCCGGAGACTTCACCCCAAGTGCCTGAGAAGGTAAAGCCGGAGAAGCGAGGTCTGGCAACGCGAGAACACGCAGGGCAAGGCCGCAGGAGAGTCGGGGCTGCACGCCGAGCCTCCTCCCGAGGCCGCCCAGGCCCCCGGCGCGGGCAGGGCGGGAGGGCCGGCGCTGGGAAGGGGCGCCCATTTGGGGCTAGGGCCCCCGGGCCTCCCTCCTTCCCCTCCTTCGGCCAAATGGGAGCACAGATGTGCGGCCCCAGCGGGCCCACGGCCCCCCTCCTTGGGAACCAGCACTGGGCCGGGGTTTTTCTCACCTGCACGTGAGGCTCGGGGCCCGGGGCAGTTTGCACCCGGGTGTGGGGCCGCCCCTGGCCATATGGAATGACTTTATGGCCCGGTGGCCGGATCCGAGGGCGAGAAGGAACAGCCCGGCGCTCCTCCCACCTCTACGGGCCTACGCCGCCTTCTTCCACACGTGGAGCTCCGAGCAGGCGTGCCTCCGCGGCCGACACACTCAGATGCGTGCGTTGGAAGCTTCCTCCCCGCCTGCATTGGTGGTTCAGTGGTAGAATTCTCGCCTGCCACGCGGGAGGCCCGGGTTCGATTCCCGGCCAATGCACGACGGTACGGTCCCTTTTTCTTTCCCAGCCCACATCTAGGGGAAACTAAAATTGACCACACTACAAGTTAAGCAAGCAGCTCTGATATTTTTTGGCTTAAATATTTTGACCCAAACTGAAATGCAGCATTCTGCTTCTGAGGCCGGCTTGGAAGCTCCGGACTTGGTCCCTGACTCCGCGGGGCCAGGCTCTCCTCGCTCTCCTCGTCTTCTGCTCTCTGCAGCGCAATTCCCCAGGTCCAAGGGCCTGGGCCGGGCGGCTCCCCGTCTTCTGGGTGCTGCTCGGCGCCTCCATCCCTCCCGGGTGGTTTTTTGGGTCTCCGGCCGCGCGGTGGCCCTGCGGCCCGGGCGGGCCTGCGCTCCCACGCCCGCGCCCCCCGCGCGCCCGGG